TCGGGCCGTTACTCGGATCGCGGCCAGTCCAAGTGATACGAAGCTTTCAAAGTATCGATTAATAAAAGACAATCGACACGAGTAAGCTCGTTTAAATATAGCCACGATCACGATCCGAGCTCGTCTTGGTGCGTAAATGCGTAAAAGCTCCGGGGAAAGTTCGGGCCGCTTTTGTAAAGCCAAAGTCGATTCCGTAAGCGAGGGAGAAAAAAGCCTATTTCGCGAGTATCGACCAATAGACCCATCCTATACAAGTATGCATATGTATAAAAGATCATCCCCGATGGCGATTTCGCGCGAGCTGCCCGCGTAAACGCGCGAATAACGCTACTCGAGTCGTTGAATCGTAAAACTGCGAACTGCCCGAGCTAATCGAGGCTCTCGTATGTAGGTGATAGCTGCTTTGCGGACGTACGTATATAAGTTGCCGCTGTGGCTTCTACGACTGCTATACTACTCGGGACTTTGGCTGATCGGTGCACGCGGCGAGACTTGTTAACTTAAATGCCCGTTAGCCGACACTTTGCGCGGTGAGCTCTCGGCCATCTGCTGCGGCTACTCCACACAGCAAACCTCGTCGAAATGGCACACACGCACAAAGCCCGTAACGATCATTCGACTTTTAATCTCTTTCATTATTATCTCTTGCCTATATTTCCATTGTTATGTCGTACACGAATGGGCGCGTTTATCTCGCGCACTGTACAGCTTTTTTGTGCTTTTTACTACTATTTGCGTAATAGACTTGAATATTTTTTCAATGAATCAACAGCCCAAAATGTTTGAACAAATTAAACGAGATAATGTCTTTTAGTGTCAAAAAATTTGTCGAAAAATAAAAACTAATTTCTAGAATTCTATCTCAAGTAGTCCGCACAGCGCATCATGTTCCGCAGAACTGCGCGTGATAGTATTGCAATGATGTCGATCACGAGACGGGTATACCCGAATCGAGGCAGGCCGAGTGCAGTCTGGTACCTGCTGCCAATTAAACGTACATCCAATAAAAATTACAAGGGCGCTCGAATCGTTGCACCCAAGCCAAGAGTACACAGCCCAAGAGCGTTCGAGGCTGCGACCCTCCTCGTAGTACACAAACGTGCGTGCCTATATAGATCTCTATTTATAATAGCTGTAGCGAATGATTTTCTTCTTTTTTTTTTGGCTTTGCGAATGGCCTTCCGGTCGACGAGATAACCGTTTGATACGAGGCCAGACTGTAGCGTCCACGGAGCTTGCCGCGCGCGCATCGATCCACGACGAGCCTTTGACGTGCTTCGTGAATAATCTGTGACTCGTCGTCCCTTATACGTTCCGTATATAAGCCTGTCTTGCTGATGTGTTGAGAGGGTCACACTCACTCGCTCACCGACGAACTGCATTATATCGTACTCTGTATATCTGGCGCTGCTGCTTTAGCCGCTCGGTCGCCACGGCCATCGGGGATTGACATTAAAATCTTTATAAACTCTCGATCGGAAACATTTCATTTTCATCGAGTACGCCCTATAGCTGGCGTACTGCAACTATTCGCAGCTATTGCAGCTTTCCCTCCCTCTATCTCTCACTCGAACAGCGAGCCAATTAATTGTCCGCGCAAAATGTCCGATTTTCATTGAATTTTTCAAGAATCCTCGACAGCTTTCACATCCGATTGACAGGTAATGGCTCATTTTCCTCTGTGCACTGCGAAACGTATATCACTGCGACTTTGTCGAGTGCGTTGATTTTCCATGTAATTTCATTGAAAAAGTGCTAGGCTCGGTTCCAGATCTCGCAGAAGTTCTCGATGTACCTCCAAAATATTCTCAATTAATTCGTAATTCTCTTGTTCGCACATCTATATTAGACCGGAAGGAAGTGGATCGTAAAAAAAATTACTCTACTTGTCAATTACATCGGCACACTAATTTATTCGAGTCCCACCACAAAGAGGATGAGAGCAACTTTCGGAGAAAAGAAGGAGCAAACATCAAACGGTCAATAGAATCCATACAGCAGCCGTTCGATCGCGCGTGAGTCTGCTGAATTACGCGAATCGCTTGAAACGTTACTTTTCAGCCGCAAAGTCGCGATTCCAGGAACGAATGAGTCGAGTGATGAGGAGACGAATGATATTAACACGCGGTTTTACACGTCTCCGTCGTAAAGGATGATACACCGCATTAGTGTTCTCTCTCTTTGTACCTACGAGCGAGACAACAGGCAGATTCGTATTAGAGGTGCTACCTCGGGGTCTATTCGTGTTGCATTTTCGAGCTCATATTCTTACATACGTTGAGTCGTCGTCGAATTCTTGAAACGCGCTTGATGAACGAGACAAATCAACAAAGAGAGTCGCAAGCGTCACGCAGCCTATTCATCCCTCATATCGACTGTATCGCGAGCTAAAAAGCTTGAAAGCTCGTAAAAGCTTTCTGCATCCGTGCTCAGCTCTCTCTCATCTCTCTCAGTCCTATCCTCTACGCTTTTGCGTCGAGGAGGCAAACAGTCCACCACACCTCTCTCTCTCTCTCTCCTCACTTGCAACCCGGCAGAGGCAAAACGAGCGTGGAACGTGGAAAAAAAGGCGAAAAAAAATCTGCACGAAGAGGAGAAAGAACGAAGCGTGTGTTATAGCTGTATACGTGCGCGAAGCGTATCATCGGCTGTGCGAGGCGCTGCACTGCCATGGAGGATAGAGCTCGTGCCGATTGGCCGACGCCGCTCGGGGCAGGCCGACGGTTGCCTCGGTGACGCGCCGCCACCACCACATCTCTGTGTATAGCTCCGTATCCGCACGCGCACGCGTGATATTGCCGCGTTTGCACACCAGCGCATACAGGAGCTTCAAGTTCGCTCAAACTCTCTATGTATGTTTCGCTGAGCGCGCGTGTGTGTGTGAGTGGGACTCTACCCGTACTGCACTGGGCTTTTTTTTATATACCCTTTACTACTTATTCGATTGTTCAAGTACTCGCGATGATATTTCACTTATACCAGCTACGCCGCGCTGTTTTCATTCTTTTCATTGTTTTTTCCATTTCGCGAAACTTTAACATTATTTTTTACTTTCGTGTAATACGCCGCACTACCGAGTCGTATCGTATATATATACGGGCTGCTGCTCGTCGCCAGGGCTACTCGCTCGCGTGCTTCATCAAATTCTGCTCTTGAAAATTCAGGCGACGAAATTCACTACTCAGCCCCGAAACTTTGTGAAGCGAGACTCAAAGCAAACGGGGGATGGAAAAAAATGTCCAAAAAAACTCTCGAGCCCGAGCGATCAATTTGAAATAAAAGCTTTTTAGGATTTTGCCAATTGATTTAATCGTTAAATTCAATTTTATACCGCTTGCTCGAGCTTTTTTCATGCGCTAATAATGTGTATATCGCGCATACGAGTTATTTGAGGCGCGCGAAACGCGCTCGATGCTATTTCTATAATATGACTCTATGCAGTGTGAATTGACTAGAAAAGCTCTTGCGATCGCGAAATTTCCGCACCGTGGGCTTCAATTACTCGAAATAATTTTAGTCGCAAAAAAGCTCAATTCGCTGATTTTTTTATCGCGAGAGCTTGCAGGCAAATGACTCCTCTCTCTTTTTTTTTAACGATAAAGCGTGTATTTGTTTACGAGAGTGATATTATATATACACGTCCGTGGGAAATGGAAAGACACGAAGAAAGCTCATTGGTATGCAGACGGCTCACGGCTTGAGTGACGCTTTGCGAATATGCGAAAAATAAAAATTTCATGAATCTCCATTATAACTTCCATTTCTCTTGAAGCGTGTACGTTTGCCGAGGCCCCGAGAAAATTCACGTGTCTCGTCTCTCTCTCTCTCCTTCTCTCGTACCGTTGCGTATGCGTGCGTGACTGCGCTCGTGCGTGTGTGTGTGTGTACGTTTTCAATTGACTCGACAAGTGAGTGATCATCTTGAATTATGAAATTGATACGCGGCACACGCGTGTAGGCACTAGGCTATCATGTATTTTTGATTTAATTTTCTGGCAGCTCGCGAATTCTCGGTCTGCATATCCACGTACAAGCCGACGAATAAAAAATAAATTATTTTCCGATCATCTTTAAATCGAGGTTTAACAAAATTGCACTTGCTCCCTCGAAAAATGTTTCGCCGTTTGACGATTAAACCACAGAACATCGCAAGCCAAGAAATCGAGTCGTGCTTGCGGATATTCCCGAATTAATTCATTAGCACGCCCGGTTAAATTGAAATCAGGAGAATAGAGTATCGATGAAAAATCGCAGCTACTGTCACAGCTACTGGCCTATACATATCGAGGAAAATCACGTGGTCAGCGACAAAAGCATCGGTTACGTCGATACGTTATATCAATACGGCACGACGAGACGCGCGAAAACTTGCCGACGACTAACGCGAGCTTTTCTGCATGTATACCTACAGACTAGATGCTATATGTTGTCGGAGCTGCTGCTGCGGAGGCGGTGAGCGTCGCATTTCGCCGACGACAAGTTTGCTTTAATCCGGAAAGCCAGCATAGGCCGTGGTAATTGATACGGGGCACAAAACTTTCCTACCCACTACTATTATTCCTGCTGGTGCTGCGTCGCAGCTCGCATTTCTCTCTCTTATTATCACTCAAAATGCGCGTCGATATCTGCGCTTACTCCTTGCAAGAGGTCTTAACGTATCTTTAACAATTTTCAATTCACAATAGTGCAAAAAACTTGGAAGTTGTAAGCCAGTTGACGAACGCGCAAATTCACTTTTAGCTTCCATTTGAGACCTATAACAGTACTATCTTAGACTATTATATCAAACGCGTCTTTGGCAATGATTTTAACTTGACTCGGCGTCGATGACTTTTAACTTGATTATCGTTACAAAGTTACCTGCGCCAATAGAATAAAGGTGTTGCCAAGCCTCGGAAAAGCATTTTTCAAGCTCGCAAAAGTCACGTAAAGCAACAGCTCGAGGCGCGATTGAAAGTTGGGTCAAGAAAAATTGATAGAAATATAATGATCGAACGAACCTGTACTCTGCTCTCGGTCAGGCCGATCCTCATGGCTATGTCCTCCCTGAGAAAGATGTCGGGATAGTGCGTCTTGCCGAAACACCTCTCGAGCTCGTTCAGCTGAGCCGGTGTGAATCTCGTCCTGTGGCGTTTCTGCTTGGCTGGTTTGTCGTCGTTCGAGCCAACATTGCAGGGATTCCCTAAACAAAGTAGCTTCAGTTTGACAATCGAACAGTTTTGTCGAGATAATCTTCGACCGCATCGACTATGCGCGATGCGTTCAAAGTTCACGCGACGACAGTTTAATTTTCGTAACTCTCATCCCGACGCGATGACGAGGAAATTTTTGTATGGGTTTTAAAAGAAATATTGAGTTTATTCAAATACCTGAACTAGGCATCGTCATTATCAAGTCCTGGGGAATTGTGAGACCGCCACCTACGGACAAGCCACCGCCCAGGTTGACTCCCAGGACGCCGTCCAATTTATCGTGCCGTTTCAAGTCTTGTACATGAATGTCTTTTGCACCTGTTTGCAATTTACCAGTTGGATTAAGCATATTCATAGCTACATGTGCGTTTCATTTTTCAAATTAAATGTAGTTTTAATGAGCTTTTGAATTTTTTTTGTCACGTGATAATTCAATTATTTATGATATTTAGTGTTGGAAACCAAAGATATATTTTGAGTCGTTTTACGCAGCTCACAAAGCAATAATGAGGGTTAATACGGCGTTTATTAACGTAAAGTGTCTAAAAAATGAAATGACAATTTTCAACGCTTTTTGAGCGAAAACAAGCTGTAACAGTTGTAAAGAGTATAAAAACAAAATGTAAACGCTCGTAACTTTTTTATTGACTATTGAGTAGGGCTCATTTATTTTAAGTTAAATAATCAATTAATGGTTACAACACATTCAATTAAAACCTTTAAGTTTCCCTTTATTTTATGAATTTTTTTTTATGCACAACACGGTATGATCTCGATGTTGCTTCTTATCTCATACGATGTAAGCAAGCAATGGATTGTCAAGAATAAATTCGGCACCGTACCTATAGTCAAAATATTTTCTGCACAACATCGGCACCAGTGCACGTTATCGCACAGTCATGAGTCACAAGTTCACACGCAGAGCTTCATCCGTCGCAACGAGAAGAAAACCAACGAAAAGACAAAAGCGTCGGACAACAACACCAACAATCGTATAACTTCACAAAGCCGAGTATTTTTCCAGCCGCACTGCACGAGTTAGTCATTCGCGGGCTGCTCTGAGCTGTATACAGTGCTGCACACACACGGCGTCGTCACACGGCGACGGCGACCAAGACTGAACGATCTCGCTCCGAAGAGAGCCAAAGAGTTGAGAGCTCGCGATTTTGCTGTCGGATGGACGACGGACGGGCACACGCACAAGTCGCAAACTGCCACAGGCACACAAACAGACACACACACACAGACGAGACACGAAACACTACTCGTGTGCCGAGGCATAATATATACGCGCAGCGAGTTTAAATTTGTATAGGAGCAGAAGCTGGCCGAACTGCAGAGAGCTCGAGAGCTGGCTCGAGGTGGAACGGTGAGCTCTCGCGGCTTACTTAGCACCGAGGTGCGAGAATCGTCACCGGTTTCCCATATCTCTCTCTCGCTCTTTCATGCCTCTTACCGGAGCGGATGAATAAATATAACGCGCGCAGCACACGGCTATCTATATATCGACTCGCGACGCAACGCCTTCACATACATATATACTTATTGTATATCTATACACATTTATATGATGTGTTTCTCGGTGTGTCGATGTACGCGCCCGAGTCCCGAAGATCGTCCTTTCTTGATATATGCGCGCGTGTGTGTTCCTATATATACTCGTCCTCACGACGTTGCAGAAAATGCCAATGTCTCTTGGTCCGTCCGCGTCAGCTCGTGCACACATCGACAGCTATAATGACCGATGAAATGTCATTAGAACCTTTTACGCGACGAATGTGTGCGACTTTAAAGCTCGCATTTACAGATGATCTTTTGAAAATTACTTTTTACACTGACGATAATACGAAAGATACGAGCGCACACAATAGTCATTACGTAACTAATAATTTCGATTTTCGACATTTCACTAATGCACATTGCATCTTCACTTAGATTAATGTTCAACAATGGCATTTTTAAGTTATTTTTCAAACGAATTAATTGGCATTTTTAAATGCTTTTCATAATAAAATTAATTAAAATAGGATCTTTTTTATATTTAATGAAAAATTAATTAAATGTCTTCCTAAATTTTATTCAATTGAAGAAGATATCTCGTATTAAATAATTAACAAGTACAAAAGTCTCTGTTAATTTTACTCTTTGTTTTAATTAAAGTAATGTCGAGAAGTGTAACTATTTTAAACGCTCCCACGCTCACGAGCTCCAAGTTAATTTTACAGTATTTATTTGTGTGTAAAGAGTCTCAAAATGTTTCAAAAGAAAAAAGCACACAGAGTTTAGTATTTGTTTGTAATTTAGAGATAGGCCGCGTAAAAGTGTCGAATGGTCGCAGAGCTGCGCGCGGAAAACGACGACTATTATCACCGCTTCTTAAGCGTCGCTCAAGTTCCCTCATCAATGTTACTATAATTGCATCATAAGCCGCGGGTAGTTGAACGTCGTGCTGTGCTCGGCTGCTCCGTGCCTTTAACGTCCAGCAGCTCTCGGTAGATGAATGGCTTTTTACGACTCGAGCCGGTGTCTCTCTATACGCGAGATAGTATATAGTCACACACAAACACACGCACGCACACACATTCACGAGCCCGACGACGACACACTATCGGCCAGTGTCATGCATCTTCATCGGTTTTTTCACCTTTTGTAATGTTTTTTTCGTTTCTTCGTTTTTTTTACGCCCGTACGTCCTCTTTTATTTCTATACTTATACGTATTTATATATCTCTTTCGTTTTACGAGGCTGAATGCGCAAAGAGCAAGAGCCTATAAGAACAGTGTGTATACTCTTAAGAGGTGCCAGAATAAAACGAAAAAGATCCGGCCAGCGGAGCGAGCAAATGTCGCCTGTGTTTTTGTGCAGGTTAAAACGAGATGAAAAAAAATTTTAAGTACGAAATACTCGTACACGGTCGGATGACTTTATTTCTGATCTTTATGTATTGCCCGGCATCAACAGAGCTTACAGCGATGGGCCATAGAAAAAGGGAGCGCAAGAGAAGGAAAAGATTTGCCGTTGTATTGCCTAGGAATCAAAGTTTCACCATAGACCTCAAGTTCTCTCTATTGCATTCGTCGATTCGAACTTTTTATCGTTTGCGCTTTATGAGTTTCCGAGTCTTCTCTTGAGTAGAAAAGCTCATGGAGTGATTAAATTTGAATGCTTTATCTTTATTTAAAAAAAAGAACCGTGAATTAAGTGAGTTCTTGTAAGTCATTAAAGTTCGATTGCTTTTGGTAAAATGTATATGAACTAGACCACTTGCTCGTCGCTACGAATCGTTATTCACTCATGCAGTTATACGCCGAGCGTGGACGCAGCGATAAAATTTTAATTCATATCGTCTGTGATGAATATAATACAATTTACAAGGATCAATGAAGCTTTATATTTTTGAGGTAGAGCAGATCTAATAATAGGCGGCTCGGTGACCACGAATAGCCAAAGGCTAAAAAGTTGTCTGCATGTAGGGAATGCGCTTTTTCATTAAGCGCAATTACCAGCGCGACGGAGTACAATCGCCGGGGGGTGCGAATCGCATACGTGTGTTTGTGTATAATTTAATGGTCGAATAATTAATCATATTACATGTCGCATAAAATGGCAATAAACGGCCGGCTAGACGTAGGTATATATAGGAGCTTTTTACGTGCTTTCGATGCGCGAGCGAGGAGAAAGAAACTCGCGTCGCGAGACGTGCGAATCGTTAAAGCTCGAGCTTTTTGTCATACTCAACTTTAGCGTGGGACTTGATTATGCCCGAGTTCTGCGCGATCGATCGAATTTGTGAGGGGGAGGGGGGCAGACAATTCGTGCGTTATTATACCTGTACTGATAGCGTGAATGGAGCCACCGGCGGAGATGTTGTTGAGCATGCCTCCGCGGGGCCTTGTCGGCTCGAGCAGCACCGTAGCACTTGTCTGGCACCACCGTCGCACACCAACGTCGTCCGATCTACGCACTGTTCGTGGGCTTTCGTATTGCTCCTCTTGCCTGGGACAATACGAAATCGTGCTTCGATCACTCGTTCTTTGATCTTTCGAGGACAATATAATTTCGTGCAACGATCAATGGAACACAGCACAAGAGTCATGAAATACGACGGCAGGTAGGCGACACGAGGCCCGCGGCATGATAACGATAAAAGGGTATCGCACAACGAACTGGCTCACTCGCTCGACTGCACGAGCTTTTCGGTATATTACTGTGGCGAAGCGAAGCTCGGGGCTGCTATATACTACACACGGTTCATGCATGCATATTATCGAATCAAATCTCGTTCGGGTGAACGTGTGCGAGTGTGCCGTGGGTTGCTGCAGCAGCACGACGAACGACGACACACATTTGCGATGCCTTGGAGCCGACTGTCCGGCTCGACTTTGTCCGCCATGTCCACAGCCCCACTATAGTATCGTCGCTGGCGCCGCCGCCGCCACCACCGCTGATACCGCCTCCCACTTTCCTCTCTCTCTCTCTCTTTCTCTCTGTCTCGCGTGCACCCTCCGATCTACGCGGAATACGGATCGAAAGCCCACGCGCATGGAGAGCCGAGCAAAGCCACCCTTGCGAGCTTCGCTCTGTATGTAGATGTGCGTGCGAATGTACTCTGGGCTGTATGCGTGGGTGTGCGTTCTCGACACACACAGTGGTAACTCGCAGGTGAGCTTGCTCGCACACACGTACGCACCGTACATATACGTACAGCAGCTGCCTTTTCTCCCTCGCTGCTGTATACATACAGACCTAAGCTATATATGATGGGCGTGATATTAAATCACCACCTTCTTCTCGCTCTCTCTCTCCCTCGGCGTACTTCTCGCATACATTTGCGCGTGACATGCTTACACCGATATGAATACATGCATAGCGCGGCAACGTGTGCCTGCTTTTACGAGCTTTGGATGCACACTTTGTTTTCTAAAGTCACTGTCGTCTATCAGAATATTTAGACCTCAGTTTTTGATTTTTGACTGCGTGAGTAAACATTGATTCATATTCAACGTCAATAATGACATTACTGATAAAGAAAATAAATGAGCTTTATAGAGCTTGAAAATTGCTCTTACTTAATACTAAAACTTTGACTTTTCTCTTTTGGATTTAAAGAATTCGGCCATAGGCCACCTAGCGGTAACTTATGAACTATTGCGTATCTGCAAAAAGAGTATACATGTACAATTTACAGCGAGCTTGCTCTAATTTACGATAAATATAAAACTTTCGTACTTTTCAAGCTGCGAGTATTGAAGTTCAATTTTATGAATTAACAGCTGTATTTTCGAGTCTTGACATCCAAATTCACATATTGGTCGAGTAAATATGTGTAATATATTTTATTAGATTTCAGCATTAGTACTTTATTTTTCACATAAAAACCATTGGTTTTCAAGAGTAAGGTAGCTTCTGAACGACTGCAATGATTCGTTTCACGCTTGGTTATATTATTTACTTATCATAGCTCAACGCGCTAATCTTTTAACACCAAGCTCAAACTAACGCCGTAATGAGTAAATATTTGAGTCGCATTTTACGTTTTATGAAGCATTTCAACAACATAATTAGAAGGAAATGAGAAAGTCGACGTTTTAATTTTTTTTCGTTCTTATTCAAGCTTTTTCGAATGACTATTCAATCTAAATTGGAGAAAAATTTGTAACGTATAAATCTCGCAAAAGTTTCAATAATCACCGAACATTATTGCTCTTCTTCGCTAATTTGCCAATTCGAATGTAAAACAAGTAGAAGCCGTCTCGCGCGATTACGGAAAAATCCTGAGAACACGGTAGACAAAAACTCAAGCGAAAAGAGGAGTAAATTCGATCTGCGATAAAAGAATTTCAATATTTTTCACTCCTCGTCGTCGACGCGCGAGCAGCGGAGCATATTTGATTGATATATATTTTTTAATATTATGCGCGGGCCTATCATCGCGCGGCAGTTGATACATAAAGGAGCGCGAAGGTGAAGAAAATGGAAGCAGTTTCTTATTTTGCACTCCAGTCTTCTGTATATAGGTGCGATGACTCGCGCGGCTCTCCTGGACTGATCGAGTTTTTCCGATTGTCTCTCCATTTTTCGTTTCGCCTGACATTTCACGCGCGCGCGTGTGTGTGTGTGTGTGTGTGTGTGTGCGCGCGCGCAGAGATACACGAGCCAGCTAATGCGTCATCAATTGGCTCCGCCGCGCAAATATACGAGTAACAATATGTGTACTCGAAACTATGCCGTTGATTCTTACGTTCGGCAAAGTCGACTCGGTATACGGGGTATCTAGTTGGCGTACACTCGAGTCTATATACTGATACAGGTGTATATAGGTACATATAGATATATCTAAGCACGAGCCGAGTTGCTTACACAACAGGAGAGCCGCCGCTGCTGCTGCTGTTGAATCGTTCGTCGGTGGCCTTGCGCTCGCTCGCACACAGCTAGACAGCAGCAGCAGCAGTAGTAGCAGCGGCAGGTGGGCGTGGCTCCGGCTATACGTGGGATCGAATGGCGCGGCTCGGCCCAACCTCCGGACGCGTCGCTCGTCCCCCACCAGCGCGCAAAAGGCAAAGCTATCCGCTATATACTTGCACCCCCTCTGAATGGCATCTCTCTCATTCTCTCATTCTCTCTCTCTTTTGCTCTCTTCCGTGCGCGATCGTCCCTGCACAAGCGTCGAGATTTATTGAAATTTTATTTTTATGCTCGCTCGCGTGCTTGCGCCCCTGATGTCATCGTCGTCGTCGTCGTCGTCGTCGTCGCGAGATTGTAAGAGGACTGCCGCGTGCGAGGATGGGAAAAACGCTTTTTCGCTTTCTCCATCTCTCTCTCTTTTTCTCTCTCTCTCTCTTTTCCGAGCATTTCTGCATTACCTAGCCGAGCAACAGACTGCCTTGCTGCGCGTTACTGCTCCAGCGTAGGAGGGTTCGGAAGCCAAACAACTACTCGTCGTTTCAGCCCCGGGAAATAGCTTTTTGCCTTCTCGTCGTCGTCGTCGTCGTGTACCCCCTCGCTCCATTCCAGCGCCTCTCACTTTCAAGCTTTCTCTCTTTCCAGCTTGCAAGCTCGCCCCGATGCTTTTTCGTCGTCGTCGTCTTCGTCTCTCGAAAAGTCGACGAGCTTCGTTTTCTCCGGGAGCCATCGTCCTCCTCCTAATTCAATATAACCGACTGCTGCTGGCGTTGCCTTGTGCGCCACTGCGTTCTCCGCGCGTTGCGAGCTGCAGCTGCTTTTCTCGCGCGCTTTATGTCGACGCGACGAAGCTTCTTGGTTCGTGCTGCCTGCCTCGTTGCTGCTGCCAGCTTCTTCGCTGTCTCTGTTGCAACGATTTTTTATCTCTGATACACTTTTTTTTACTCCAACTTCAGCTGACGATTCATTTATTTTTATTACAAATGGAGAAAGGTACTTTATCAAAAGAATAGCTGCAAAGCAAGTTGCTCCGATACTTTTCATTAAAATATATCGTCCATCATTCGATGATTAAAAGCTTTTTTCATTTCGTTTTCTTACTCGCGAGCGATTAACAAATACTCGAAACGTACAAGAGCTAGGCAATATCATCGTTAAATGAAATAATAAATGCAACATGAAATTGATTCGAATGCGGATCAAAGATAAAGAGCTCGAGTCGTGTTGGTAGTCGAGGAGTATTACGGGCTCTAATGCAGCTGTACGTACACGCAGACACGATCCAAATTACAGGAATATCGCGAGTTATACGCTCACAAAGCAACTGCTTGCGAGCTTTCGCTCGTGCATTCTGTATACGTGAACACGCGTATATAGAAGCGGCAACTGCGAAATATTTGTCTTTACATCGCGCACACGTACTGCGCTTTACATTGGCTATAGCTCGCTGGCGAATTATCAATAGCCGCTTTACATGCCCCAGCACGCGTACACGTATGCGCGAGCCATTAATCAAGTTTGACGCAATTAGTCGTGCTATAGGTCGCTGCGTTTGCACGAATGCAGCTGCCCACTGTAACTCGCGCACGTACACACATACATACAGAACTACAGAGAGAGAGAGAGAGATAGAGGTGCATTCTCTGATGCAGCTTTTCGGCCTCTCTCGCTTTCCGATGCCGCTACCGCTGCTCTCTAATGATTAGTTGCCTATTCCCATCTCGCTCGCTCTCTCTCGCGCACACACTCACTTTTCGACCAAGTTTGAGCGAATGACCTGCCTAGCGCGTGTGTATATACTATTCATACGCGAGTCGGTGCGGAGCTCTCGCGCTTTCGCGCGCGCACGCTCGTATCGCGTCATTAAGTTTCAATTAAATTACATCGCGTCTACAGCTGCACATATATATATTTATGCGTTGCGCGCTCATATACGCGCGTCTGCGTCGGGGAATACAAAATACCCGTGCACGCCGCGCCGAGCTTTTGACGCGTGCATCTCGCTGCTCATAGATTTGAGCTGCTGCACACGGCGCCAACAGCGGCATATGAATAATTGTGTGCCACTGACAAAATATAAGAGCCGCGCGTTGTATACACAGTATACAACACACACGTGTATGACCCGCTGAATTACACATGCGAATGTGGCCGATACGAGCTGCTACGCGCTCGACACTCGTCGAGGCTATTTTATATCAAAAATCTAGGTCGTCCTTTCAACTGCCAGATTCACTTCGGTACAATGTATCATTGATAAACTTGAGCTATTTCTTTAGCCGTCGTTGAATGATAACAATTTTAAAATATTAAAAAGCTGCATTGATAGAAAAAATCGGAGGTCTATTATAAGGTGGATTCGATTGAACATCGGACATCAAAATTAAAATAAATAATACTGAATTTTATTCAAAGTACTTTTACATGAAAACTTTGTTCATGGAAAAGAATACATACATACTGGTTTATTTTTCTATATTAATTGTACAATAAATGCGCAGTATTCTTTTTTAAGGCAAAAATAAGCAAAACAGATTCAATTCGATATTCAAATTTGAAAAGTCTTCTTGCAACAATAATTAATGTCAGATTCTACCACTAGATGGCGAGTACCTTTATCTGTAAATATTCAAGTGACAAGTGAAAATAATCGTATAAATCAATCAACGCACGGTTTTGAATGCTTAGAAGTTAAATCATTAACGAAAGTCCATTGAATTAAATTTATTCGTTGAATCAAATTGACGCTTTACATTTAAACAATAGAAAAATTTTTTACAGAATTAAAATTAATTGATTAAAGTTATAAAAAAGTTTGTTTGCGAACAGATGTGATAAAAGCAAAAAATAAAAAAAATTTATGAATGTTTTTGAGCGCACATTGAATAATAGAACTGATATGAAGGTCTAAATCAAAATTTAACAAAACTCAGCCCATAAAG